ACACACAACGTGCCCCCCACCGACACATGACACACAACGTGCCCCCCCACCGACACACGACACACAATGTGCCCCCACTGACACATACGACACATAACATATCCTCCATCAACACACACAACACATAACATGCCCCCACACAGACACACATGACATGTAACATGCCCACACACGACACATAACACAACCACACATGACACACGTGACACATAACACCCACACAGATGACACACAGCATACCCACACACAGACCTACATATGACACATAACATACCCCCACACAGACACACTTATGACATAGTTTAGCACATTTAAATAAAATACATGCAACTGCCACTTTTAGAACAGTCCCTGGATGTGAATCAGCTCCTCACCATTTGAGTATCTTGTGAAACATGTTTCTGTAATGCTTGCCTAAAGGAGCCAGGATCGTCATTGACTTGATGCCTGGAAAACAAACATACCATTCCTGTTTAGAAGGTGAACAGAGAAGCGCTTCAACCATGCAAGAAAGAGAAAAACAGACACATAAAATGCCAAGGTAGGCATTTCAGCACAACTCTTAAAAAGGGAATTGGGGTGGCAGGGCTTCTCCGTGGTTAAAGGTATTTGGTGACAACCTAATGGCCAGAGTTCAGTCCTTGTCCCCCACATACTAAAGGAGGACTAAAGCCAGCTCCTGCCAGTTGTCTTGCATGTGTGCTCTGCCCTGCCCCAAAATGAAATACATGGATGAATAAATGTAATAAAAATATCTTAAGAAATCAAAATAAAAACATGTCAGGATCACCAGCTTGGAAGTGTAACAATGGAGGGGCTAACCTGAGGTAGACAGGTGACACAGAGCATCCTCGGCAGACTCAACTGAGGAGTGCTCCCAGGCACAGTGAGGGACACACACTTGGCGGCTCATTTGAGGTCCCTGTGAGTTCAAACTCTAGACCCTACACTGGGAAGTCTAGAAAATGAGTCAATGCCCTAATCAGAACTATCAGAGGGTACTCCCTGTGTCTGCAGGGGGTGGGGGCAAGAGGATCACTCTGAAACACCCAGTTCAGGGCAGTCTTGCCTAACACAGTGTCTCCGCCTGACCCCACCCCTCCCCGGTTGCACTGTGCTCAGGAGAGACCAACTCGTCCTGAGGGAAAAGGCGCCCTGGCGCTGGCCTGGTTGGGCCAGCCTTTGCAGTGCGTCCGGGTGTGCTCCAACCACCTAGCTGCTTCACAGCCCTCGCCCATTCAGAGCTGCTAAATCCCACGCCTTCTGTGGCACCTCACATGCACAGACCACAGATCCGGATTGACGGGTGTTGATTGGAAGACTTAGAAATGCTTCATTTTGAACAGATTTTAGGAAGTTTTATCAAGAGGATGGGTGATTCCTGGGAGTGGTGTGGTATTAGAGGTAAAGGCCTGGGAGACGCTCTGTGAATACAGAGGAAGGGACCAAGAGCCAAGGAACACAGGCAGCCTCCAGAAGCTGACCAGAGGAAAGATGCTCAGCTATAACAGATGCTTGATTTAAGGGGGGAAAATAAAGCAAACAAAACAAAACAGAGACAGAAACAAACTCCCTTGGGACGCCTGAACAAGAATAAAATGTGTGTGCAACTTTAGCAACTACATATGTGACATTTGTCACAGCAGCCGGGGGCGCTACTAACAACAAAAAGACATCACCAAATGAGGGGCCAGCCAGAAGGCTCAGTAGTGAGGGCCTGGTGACCTGAACTCTCTCCAGGACCACGACGTGGAAGGAGAGAACCGACCCCCTCAGGCAGTCCCCTCTGCTCTGTTGCTGTGTGCTATGGCTTGCACGCGTGTGATTAACAAAACTAAAACAAAACTCAAGGTCTCCCTATATCCCTAGCTGTCCTGGAACTCACTATGTAGATCAGGTTGACCTTGAACTTACAGAGATCTGCCTGCCTCTGCTTCCCAAGTGCTGAGAGTAAAGATGTGGACTACCATGCCTGGTACAAGATGTCTATGTGTGTGTGTGGTGTACATGTATGTGTGGTGTGCGTGTGTGTGGTGTACGTGTGTGGTGTATGTCCGTGCGCATATGTGCACGCTATGTGCACATATGTGCATATGTGTATATGTGTGTGGTGTGTGTACATGTGTGGTGTACATGTGTGTGGTATACATGTGTGGTGTATGTCTATGTGCATATGTGCATGTGTATATGTGTGTATGGTGTATTGTGTATGGCGTGTGTATATGTGTGTATATGTGTGTGGTGTGTGTGTATGTGTGCTGTACCTGTGTCTGTGTAATAAGGTGGGGGCCTGAGGTGCCTACAGAGGTCAGCAGAGGGCATTAGATTCCCTGGAACTGGAGTTCCAGGCAGCAGTGATTCTCCCTGGCATGGGTGCTAAGAACAGAAGTCCAGTACTCCTAAGGGCAGCCAAGTCATCTCTCTAGCTCCATTCCCCACAACCAACAGAAAGTTATTTTTAATCACTATATGAAACAACAATTGCTTGTCTTTTTCAAATAAAAATCGTTTTTTTTTTTTGTTTTTTTTTTTTTTTTTTTTTTCCGAAACAGTTTTCCCTTTTTTTTTTGTGGTTTTCTTTTTTCTCCCGGATTTTGTGTCCCTGGACCTTCCCCGAAGCATTTTCCCTTTCCCTGTGGTGTGGGGGGGGGGGGGGTGGGGGGGGGTAGGTGGAGGGAATGGGAGGAGAGGAGGGAGTAGGAACTGGGATTGGTATGTATAATGAAAAAATATGGGGTTTTTTTGAAAAAATAAAAAATTTTAAACATATCTATTATAAGCTTTCTGGGTTGAAAAAATTGAAATAAGCTTTTTTTTTGTTTAAGAGAACACAATTCCTACAAAGTAATAATTCTTGCAATTTGGCTTCCCAAGGGTAACCAGCTGGTTCAGACCAGGACATACACAGTCCCTGCTTACCTGGCCGCCCGTGCCATTTTCATATTCATTTTTCCAGTGACCTTCTCAAGTGTGCTCACTAGCCGGTTGACCTGGGGGGAGCAGCTCCTGGTGTGCAGGATCATCCAGCGATCTAAGGACTTTGCTCTATGTAAGGCTATGTTCTTCGAGTCCCTCAGCCAGTTCTGTAGGTGTGGTTTGACTGTGTACTGGAAAGGAATTCAAGACATAGAAAACACACAGTTTGACAGGTTGGCGTAATCGGTTCCTTCTTGCAGTGTGACCTTTCTGCTGCCTGCGAATTTGTGAGTATGTCCATCTTTTCTCCTTGTGAAACTGAAAGCCAAGGCTGCCCCGAGCTGCAGGACTCCCACCTTGGCCTTGGGACCCTCTTCTCAAATATGGAGTAAATTGGTATTTAAGATGCAGGTGAGGGAAACTGGGCCTCTAACCACAGTTGATGAGAGAAGCAGATGGTGCTAACCTCCTACATAGACAAACCGAAGTCTGGTGCAGACTGGCAGATGAGACCAACCTGCCTCGGCATCTCTCTACTCTAATCAAAACTATTCGCTCTGCCTAGCTTCCATTCTGACCTGTTACACTTCTGACCCATACTGATGCCCTGGGGCTCCGCGAAGCCATCCTGGCCCAGGAAGCAGCCCAAACACAGAAACTTATATCCCCAGGAGCAAATGCCCACAATTCTCTTAGATAAAGTTCAGAGCTTGCTTCGGTACTAAGCATGGCAGATGTCTCTTATCAAACATTCGTCCTCTCATATAACGAGGTCATCTTGAGGGGGTAAAAAGCGACCATTGTGGTTATTAATGGGTTTTGAGCTGAAGGTGCTATGGCCAACTCCAACCTGCTTACCGATCGGGTACCTTGGAAAAGCTTTACTGAGCTCAGAACTCTTCCTGGCACAGACAGACTGTTGTCATTAAATGTCACCTTCCACTGCAGGAACTCATTCTTTATGTTCTGATTTCTGAAAAACAAATCCCAAGAGTTCCAACCAAGCAAGAAAATAACTTGGGTAGTTTCCCTTGAATCCAAGGTCTTACTCTACACTATGATGCCACAGACAAAACTCTTGAGGGTGATGTCTTGTGCCTGTGCACTCACTTCTGGACCACAGTCTCTCCTTGTTGGAAGCTAACACTTGAGTGTCAGGAAGATGGAGCTGTTCTGCCCACAAAGGACTACGTCTGTAATCATTGTTATGTATTATAAATGTATGCATATATATGAGAGCTCACCCATGTATCTACATGTAGATTCTAGAACAATGGGGCATCTTCTTCTATAGCTCTCCACTTTAGTTTTGAGGCAAGGTCTCCCACTGTGTCTGGACCTCACCCACTTGAGCGAGATTGACTGGCCAACAAGCCCCTAGGATAACAGGTAAATGCCTGGCTTTTCATGCAAGCTATAAACTCAGGTCCTCATGCTTCCGCAGTAGGCAGCTCACCCAAAAAGCCATCTGCCCAGCTGTTTTGAGGCAGAATCTCTTTATGCTGCCCAAACTGGGCACAAGTTTGTAAGTTCCGTCTCAGCCTCCAGTATGCTGGGATTTCAGACCCAAATTTCTATCCCTGGCTTATGATTGTCATCGTTTTAGCAGAAGGATCATAGGTGTCAAAAGGCTACACCCAGGTCTCAACCTGCGTACAATGCCACATACAGGTAGGCATGCAGCAACCAACAAAGGTACTTACGTCTGGATGTTGTTCATGAAATTGTTCAGTGCGATCCTCCGACTCACTGGGCTCATTCTCATTCTGTCAGTCAGCTGCGCCATTAGGCTATGGTTTTCAGATACAGCACGTGCTAGACCTTTGGAAAATGCAAGAAGCTACAGCATACAGGTGAGGGTCAACTGGTCCTAGAGAAAATGCAAGTCTGTATCTAGGGACAGAATAACCAACTACCTCAAAGGATGCAATTCCAGGTCAGAGTACTGGGAAAGCCTGAGTTTCTGCACCTGATGTTTAAAGAAGGGCTAACTTCCACAGAGCCATGTAGGTCATACCTGTCAGGTAACACAGCTGAGGGACCAGAAAGATAGGCTCATGAGGTGTAGACGTCTGGCCCTTCTTCCACTTGCCCAAGCTCATCAAGAGTGGCTGATCCTCCTCAATTAGGAAGGTGTTGTATCGCTGCTCCGTGGAGGTGAGAAAGACAAGAGGTCAACACAACTCCAGTAATTTCCCAGGAAGAGAAGCATGGGTCACACAAGACACAGAGACACCACACCCACTATTTCCCTAAAAATGTGTGGAGAATTTTTCTGTCTACATGGGTGTGGTAAGACCCCAGCCTTTACAAGCATCTGTGGCCAAAGGGAAGGGCTCCATAAAGCACACCATCAAAACAATGTGTGGAGATGGATGACAAACTCTTGTGTGGTGTCTGTGTGCATGCACATGTGCGCACATGCAAGCAACGTGTCTGATATATGTGTTTGTGGTGTATGCATGTATTGTGAGAGTGTACAAGAGCATGTGTACTTGTATGTGTGCAATGTGTCTGTAGCTGTGGGGTATGTATATGCTAGTATGTTTGCCTGTGTATGCTTGTAAATGTGTAATGTGTTCGTGATATATCTGTGTTTGTGGTATATGCATGTGTGTGCATAAATATGAGCTAGTGTGCTTGCCTGTGTGTGTGTGGTATGGGAAGTCCTGTATATGTTTGCTTTTGTTGATTAATGAATAAAGAAGCTGGCTTGGCCTGTGATAGGACAGAGTACAGCTAGGCAGGGAAAACTATACTGAATGCTGGGAGAAAGAAGGCAGAGTCATGAGACGCCATGGAGCCGCCAGAGGAGAAAGATGCAAGTTGCCAGCAGGAACCTTGGCAGTAGGCCATGAGCCTCATGGTAAAATATAAAATAATAGAAATGGGTTAATTTAAGAGATAAGAGTGAGCTAGAAATATGCATAAGCCAATAGGCCAAACAGTGTTGCAGTTAATAGTTTCTGTGTGGTTGTTTCAGTTCTGGGCAGCTGGAAACAAACAAGTGACCTTCTTAAAACAGAATGGTGCACCAGCATGGTCGATTAGATCCATGTAAAATCTGAGAAAGCGTTAAAAGGACACAGGAAAGAAAACAGTTTAACACAGCTTCTTGCTCTGCTTGCTGGCAGCATGCCACAGCTCCTTTGAGAGAGGTCTTCCTGATTAAGCAATTGAAAAATAAAATCCACACAGTTTTGAAACGGTCACTTCTTGGGCTATACTGCCAGTACGAACTCTGACTCTTTTGGGAAGTCTGGCTATGGAGGATTTAAACGGAGTTTATGAACAGAGTGCTACAACCTGTTTAATGGCAACACAGACCTGCTGTGACCTAACCCTGGATCTGGGCAGAGAGAATGGCTCTCAGAGGCAATGAACGGATCCCCTCCGCCATGTTGGACTGGGCAGAGCCAAAAAACAAAGCAGTCTTAGTCCTTGTAACACTGCTTAACATTTTAAGAAGTGTTCCTAGGCTCCTGGACAAAAAAAAAATTTCAGATACACAATAGGACATCAAAGACTCTAAATGAAGCACAGTGTGGTTAATGTACGTAGGCTTGGGAGAGAGAGGAAAAAGAGTAAAGAGACAGTAAATGCAATATAAAAGAGTACAGACAGTCATAGATTAAAGGAGTAAAGATAAAATATTAAACTTGTAGAAAAGATAATGAGTAAGAAAAATAAGCCACATAAAGTGGAATATGCACAGAGAATCTGAATCATACATATTATTGCGTTTTCTTTAATTTTTTGACTGTGAAGAAGCTAAGTACAGAGAGACATTTCAGTGTATTGGCTGATAAGTTAAACCAACATATATATTTTAAAGTTACCTTTACTCCAAAATTTGGGTCTAAGGATTTGTTGCTTTGGAAAAGAGGTTCTTTTGTTTTACAGAGGATTGAGAACCTATGGACTCCTTCCAGACTAATGTGTCTTGATGGACCAAGGTCCCCTAAAAGATCTCTGTGAATACCCCCAAAAATTACTTTGCCCAATAAAAAGCAAGAAGCAGTTTGGAGAGAACTATGCCCATATCCCCAAATATTGTTTATAAATGTTTGTTTACATTTAAAGAGTAATATGTCATAGAGATTTGCATTGGTTTGGATCTTGGTCTATTGATACAAATTTAAGGTCAATTTTGTTATGTATATATTTCTGCTCTTGATTAAGGTATTGTGTTTGTGCAGTTCATTTAAAAATGTAATGTATAATTAACAAATACAGGTTAATAGGTAATCATCTATAATAGTCAAGTTTGTAGTCATGTTAGGTTTTCTAGATATAGAGAGATAAATTTCAGTTAGACTGGTAATCTTCAAACCTTTCAAAGATCTACAGAATATGCCATTTAAAATATTTTAAGAACTTAGGACTTTTTATAACAATGAGACACATCTGCTCCTGGCAGCACCAATTCAAGAGGAAGATGGGTATTGAAGAGGCTCCTCATGGAGTTTGTTAGTCATTTGGGCAAGAAACTGCTCTTGCTTGGCCTGCTTGATTTTATGCTGTATGGACTGGACTTACAGAACCCACAGAAAGATGACTGCTGAACTTGCCTAAAGAAGGTTAGAATGTCCTTTGGGGTTCCTACTTCATGAAAGAGTCTGCTAGATATTCTGCAGGACTCACATAAAAAAGTGACTTGACAAACTGCCAATATAGGTGGAACTGTCTTCTGCTTTCATGTCTTCTAAATACGTGTGATATGGAGCCAAGTCATGGAACCAACTTCCACATCCATGAATAGATCCACGGGTAAAGAACTCTGATACATATAATACTTGAGAGCAGAGGCGGGCAGTGTATGAGGAGGTGGTAGGAAAGGGTGAGAAGATTAACAGCGTGTTTCAAGATCAAAGCACATGGCACAGATGCAGAGAGTTCATCGCTCCATGTGATACATGTGCACGCATGTGTGATGGTCATGATCACATATGGTAGCAACATAAAGGTGATATATATTACATGGTGCATATATCACACTCTGCTCAATACCATTGGCTCACAGTGCAATCGGGTTTGTCCCAGCACATAAAATGTGACTCCAGGTGGTTTCTGCCCCACGCAGTTCCTGTCTTACTAGCTTTGTTGGTGACAAAACCTGCCAGACACATCCTGAGTCCCATGTTTTTCCCTCATCTGCCCAGCTCAGTCCTTTCTGCTTTTCTGAGATACTCTGTGACCTCTTCAGTAAATGGCCATGCCTCCATAGATAGAGCAGAATGTATTAATACATGTTTTAGCCACCTAAAGACAATGTAGAAATCAATTTATCTAATATGAGCATCTTCACGATTTAAATATTTAGAGAGAGAAATCCCTTACCTCCCTGTAGTAGTCCATGTAGGTGGTCTTGCTGCCATCAAATTTTTTAAATGTATCTTTAGGTTTCTTCTCCCAGTTGACATCATCGATTCTGTAGGTTTTATTGTACCTGTGGTGGAGGTAAGAATCAAGCTCTGACCATTCATGGTACACAGCCATGCCGGGAAGAAAGTATTGCAAATTCTGACACACTGTGCAAGTTCATCCATGCCAGGGGTCTTGTCCATCTTATATTTGAGAATACACAGGGTTGACCATTTGATCATCAACAAGGTTTTACATTTCATCTATCAAGAAAGAATACCAAAATGCTAAGTGGCTCTTCCCTAACCCGAATCTCCTGGTCCTACCCAAGGTACACTCTGACCTGGTCACACATTTCATATAAATCAGAGTACTCAGAGAATACACAATCATTTCTGACTTGTTTTCTCCACCGGTCATAAGCATGTCATACGTTCCTATTTCTAAGTAATATTCCATTGTATGAACATAAATGCCTCATCTACTGACAAAATGGTAGACATCAAGTCTGCTCAGCTTTGGACTGTGATGGAATTTATGGTCATCTTGGTAGACACGAGCTCTCACTTCCTTTTGGAAATACCTATATAACTGAGTGGGTTTCCTATATAGGTTATATGGGAAATACCTATACAACTGATATGGGAAATACTTATATAACTGAGTGGGTTTCCTATATAGGTTATATGGGAAATACCTATATAACTGAGTGGGTTTCCTATACAGGTTATACGGGAAATATACCTACATAACTGAGTGGTTTCCTATACAGGTTATATGGGAAATACCAATATAAGTGGGTCGAGGGTAATGTCATTGTCACCGCTGAGGGCATGTCGGGTTGTTTTCCAGAGAAATGGTTTTAGAGTCCTACACTTTTTACACTCCAGGGATATTTCACTTGTGGTTGGTTCTGACTTGTCACCTCTGCACTGGACTGTTTATCTTGGCTGTCCCCACGAGTGTGAAGTAGCACACTGGGTACAGTAGCATCCCTGTTACCAGGGTGAGCACCACTTCACTTCCTGGTCAGCAGTGTGCTCCCTTCCAGCAAGTGTCTGGAAACATTCATAAAAACCGAGTTGTCTTCTCACTGTGCTGTTTGTATTCCGTAAGCACTTTACAAGCTGTGACTCAAGAGCATTTCCCCCTTCCTGTCCGTTTGTCCTCATGTCTTCACAGTGTACTTACAACACTCTACCTATGCTTCCCTCCCCCTTTCTTTTTGGGGTCTTATCTAGGAGTGCTTTTCTTTCATCTAAAGTCTGATGTTTCTAATAAAATTATATTTTCACAAAGTCTATTTTGAATTCCCAAGTTAAATTTGGGTGAGTTTTGTGTGTTCTGTGGGGAGGAGCAGACAGACGCTCAGTTACCCCAGCGCATTATTATACAGACTATGCTTGACCTGAAGTGATCCACATTCCCATCAAACACCCAGGGACTATGAAGGGCTCAGCTTAACTGGACCCTCAGCTCACTCTGCTGGCACCAGCATATCAGGGTTCCTGTGTTTTCTAATAAAGTCTAAAGTCAGGCGAGGTGAGCCTTGGCTCTATTTTTCCTGCTAGTTTGGCTGCATCACTGGTTCCTTAACTGCACTTACTCATCAAGGTAAAGTTTCTGGTACAGAAGGAGAAATGAAGATAAAGCATCCTCCAAGGTGGAAGCTGCCCTTGGGCTAAACCTAGCACTAGACACCAACAGTTTAGAACAGGATGAACTCCAGCAGAAAAACCATCAAGGTCCAGGAGCAAACAAAGGATATGCAGGGGCATGAGAGAGAAACCAGACACATTCGCCACCACACCCAATCCTCAAGCCGGGTAAGCAAGTGAGAAGGATCACATGATGCTTATTTTCCTACTTTAGCCCTGAATTTCATTAATGTGTGCTGCAGAATATTTGTTTAGCTACGTAAGGATGCACTGCGTTTGTTTACGCTGTGGAATATTTATTTAGCTACGTAAGGATGAGCTGCATTTGTTTAATTGTGTAAAGATGTGTTGCCATTTTACCTTGCCTACCTAAGGTCTAATAAAAGATTGGTCTAATGAAAAGCTGAATGGCCAATAGTGAGGGAGGAAGGATAGGCGGGACTTCCAGGCAAGGAGAGTAAGTGCAGGCAAAGAGAGTAAGTGGAGGAGGAATTTAGATGGGGGGGAAGAAAGGAAAGGAGACAACAGGGAGATGCCAGGGCCAGTCAGACATGGAAGACATAGGAAAGTAGGATGTATAAAAAGAAAGAGGTAAAAAAAAAAAAAAAAGTCCTGAGGCAAAACGTAGATGAATAGAAAAAGATTTGAGTTAAGTTAAAAGAGCTAGAGGGATAAACCTAAGCTAAGGTCAAGCATTCATAATTAATAAGTCTTCCAAGTCTTAATTTGGGAGCTGGTTGGTGGCCCAAAGAAAACTCCAACTACAAATGTGTGCTGTTTGAGCATGACAAAACTTTTCGTGAGGGACTAAAGCGACAGCCAGAGCGACTAGTCAGTGTCTGAAACAGACTTACATGGTGTAAACAATGGATCCCACCACCTCTTCAGAGACTTCTTCCTTTTTCGCGCCATTAGCTTTCTTCTCAAGTATGAGGTCCAACACAGTTTTCTTCTGGAGCAGCCTGTGCTTCACGTCAGCACACAGGGTCAGGCTCTTTTCATACGGTAGGATGGAAGTGGTATAACCACGCAATATGTCCATTCTGTGAAAGAATCCATTACACAGAGGCCAGTCCCAGCATTCCATGTCAGAAGTGGGCTCACCACAGGAGCTGCTTGGTCTAAATTCCTTATTTTCATCAGGTCCTTCTGATCTTCAGAAGGACCACCAAAGGAAGTCCACTTACAGGCCACCCATGATCTTTGTCAAACTATACTTATAGCCATGGTGCTCAAAGCATCAAGCTAGATGTAATTTTATATGCTGTAACATTTGACACCAGCAGCACAGACATATAGAGTTAATTAATGTTATCCACATTGTTCATGTAATAGCTAGAATATGGAACAATGCTTATCAAGCCAAGAATGGTTGCATATGGCTGGTAGAAGCAAGAGGATCTCTAAGTCAGAAGCCACTCTGGTCTACATAGTAAATTCTAGAACAGCCAGGGCTACACAGGAGCCCCCCCCCCACCTAAATGCCAAACAAAAGTTTACCATACTCAGTTTTAATTTGACATGCGGTACCACTACGGAGCCTGGGGCTCATCCTTCTCCCACCTCAGCATAAGGCTTGCATTATTGTTTCTTTAAGACAGGGTCTCTCTACATAGCTCTGGCTGCCCTGGAACTCACCTTGTAGAGCAGGCCGGCCTCAAAACCACAGAGTTCCGTCTGCCTCTGCCTCCAAAGTGCTGGAATTAAGGTCATACACTGCCACCATCTCAGCCTGCCTCAGTACCTTGAGTGCTGGGATTGTTTTTAAGGTCAATCTTTTCACCTTACATTAAATTGAATTTGTTTTTTGGGACAGGGACTTCCTCTGTAATCTTAAACTCTCATCAATCCTGTCTCAGCCTCCCACATGCTGGATTATGCAAGCCTGGCATGGTGAATCTTCGCTGTTCACAATTGGTGGGTGTCACTTAGAAATCCCTGCTCCTTGCTGCAGACTCTGCATTTGGTGAGCTAGAGGCAATGCTAGAGAGCTCATCTGGGTTGTGATAATGACAGAAAGCTACCACCCAGGCTCAGAATCAGGGCTGTGAGTTGGCCCACCCCAACATCCAACACATCTATGAGCATGTGCAGGGGATAAACCTACAGATCCAAAACATCAGGATCTCCATGACACAGGACAACAATAGAATATCCAAGAGGAAGCCCAGGGGGAGCTCATTATCAGTGGCATAGCAGAAGCCAGAGGCCTGGAGCCAGACCAACGGCTTCAATGACTCACAGCAGTGAACACTTGCAAGGAAAGTTGAATGTATTAAAGGGCAAATGCATTCAACGCAATGCCCATCAAAATCCCAGCAAAATTCTTCCAAGACCTCGAAAGAATGGTACTCAAATCAACTTCATATGGAAAAGCAAAAAACCCAGGATAGCCAAGACAATCCTATACAATAAAAGAATTTCTGGAGGCATCACAATCCCTGACTTCAAACTCTACTACAGACCCTACAGTGCTGAAAACAGCCTGGTATTGGCATAAGAACAGACAGAAGGACCAATGGAACCAAATTGAAGACCTGGATATCAATCCACACATTTTCGAACACCTGATCTTTGATAAATAAGCAAAAGATATCAAATGGAAAAAAGAAAGCATATTTAACAAGTGGTGCTGGCATAACTGGGTTATCAAAATGTAGAAGAATGAAAATAGATCCATATCTATCACCATGCACAAAAGTCAAGTCCAAATGGATCAAAGACCTCAACATAAAGCCAGCCGCACTGAACCTTATAGAAGAGAAAGTGGAAAGTACACTTGAATGCATTGGCACAAAAGACCACTTCCTAAATCTAACTCCAGCAGCACAGACACTGAGAGAAACAATAAATGAGACCTCCTGAAACTGAAAAGCTTCTTTAAAGCAAAGGACACGGTCAACAAGACAAAATGACAGCCTACAGAATGGGAAAAAAAAAATCAACCCCACATCAGACAGAGGTCTGATCTCCGAAATACACAAAGAACTCAAGAAATTGGACACCAAAAGAATACATAATCCAATAAAAAAAAAATGGAGTACAGACCTAAAGAGAGAACTCTCAATAGAGGGAATCTCAAATGGCTGAAAGATAATGTTCAACATCCTTTGTCAGAGAAATGCAAATCAAAACAACTCTGAGATTCCATCTTACACCTGTAAGAATGGCCAAAATCAAAAACACTAACAACAACTTATGCTGGAGAGGTTGTGGGGAAAAAGGAAGACTTTTGCATTGCTGGTGGGAATGCAAGCTGGTACAACCCCTTTGGATGTCAGTGTGGCAATTTCTCAGAAAATTAGGAAACAACCTTCCTCAAGACCCAGTAATACCACTTTTGGGTATATATTCAAAGATGGTCAATTGTGCCACAAGGACATGTACTCAGCTATGTTCATAGCAGCTTTGTCTGTCATATCCAGAACCTGGAAACAACTAAATACCCCTCTACCGAAGAATGGATAAGGAAAATGTGGTACATTTACACAATGCAGTACTACACAACAGAAAAAAATGACAGCTTGAATTTTGCAGGAAAATGGATGGAGCTAGAAAACATTTTGAGTGAGGTAACCCAGACACAGAAAGACAACTATCACATGTACTCACTCATAGGTGGTTTTTAAAAATAAAGCAAAGAAAACCAGCCTACAAACCACAATCCCAGAGAATTTAGACAACAATGAGGATACTAAGAGAGATTTACATAGATCTAATCTACATGGGAAGTAGAAAAAGACAAGCTCTCCTGAGTAAATTGGGAGCATGAGGATCTTGGGGAAGGGATGAAGGGTGGGGGGAGAGGCAGGAAGGAAAGCAGAGAAAAACAGAGCTCAATAAATATCAATAAAAATGTATTAAGAAGCAATAAGCACCTTAAATACTTAAAATAAAGGGCAAATTGTGTGACTCATCGGGCCACACTGCAACTCCCATGATGAGCCTTATTTATCTGTTAGCTATATTTGCTCTTTGGTTTTTCTTTTAAGTTTTGTTTTGTTTTGGGGAAGAGGTCACAAGGGCAAGAGATGTGAGGGTATGGGGGAGAGGTGGGATCCGAAGGCATGGGATGAAACCCACAAAAGATCCATAAAGTTAAAAGAACAAAAAGAATCACACCACTTCAAATCAGAGTAGCAGTCTCAAAGTCGATTTTCTAATTAAATTTTTACTTATCAGTTTAGCCCCCCTCCCCATTTTTCTCAAACCTTGAGGCCTGGAGCAGGTTTCTGAGGTCTCTGAGGTCTTCGGGATTTGACTCCATCTCTTCCATGTTATTCAGCTTCAGCAGTCTGGAAATGCAGGGAGAGGATGCTCAGTGAGTGCGACCTGGAGCACACACAAAGACACACGAGGAAAGCTACAAACACAAAGTGCTCGGTAGGTAAAGCATGTGATGAGGTTGGCCTCAAGGTAGGCAGAGTATCCTTCGCTCCCAGGACTGACCTGGAAAACATCCTGCAGACTCCACAACCCAAATAGTCCTTATGAGTTTAGAACAGAACACATACATATTTAAGACACAAGGGGCAGACACGCAGTGTAGACATTTGTTCCTTTTTTCCAGACAGGTGGCAGACCCAGGAAGTGGGCATGAGCAGGAGGATAAATACTAGGGACCAGATACTGAACTTGCACATTGACTCTGAGGTTCAAACATCATTTTACTCAGAAGTCTCTTGTTTGTATCAGCTTGTGCGGCCTCAAGAACGCATACAGTTAAAGGAATGTGGCTTTGTTCACTTCCAGGCACGGAGAGCAGTGAGTGGGGGGGGGGGG